ACCAAAATGTCTGGAGGCGGGCGCATCGTGAAACTCGCCAAGAAGCCGTGTGCGCAAGTGTGAATCATTCGGCACACAAAGAAGATCCTTACCCCGTGAATGCACAAATAAGTAGCCCTCTTGGATCCGATAATGCGAAGGCACTGGATTCGGAGAGGAGCAATTCGCGTACTTGTCGCGAAAGTGGGGGTCGGCTTGATAGCCGCGGATGAAGCTCTCCCGCAAGTCGACGTCGATCTCGAAGGTAGAGTAGACTGCGGTGCAAAGATCCGGTCGTCGTGAGAGGGCGTCCACAAAACGGTTTGACTTCCCGGGAATGTGATCGGGGAAAAAGTCAAACTGGTCAATGAAGGCCATCCAACGGGCAATGGTACTGTTAATCGTGTCTTGCGACTTGTAGAATACCAATGGATTGTTATCCGTTACCCATCGGAATGCTTTCCGACCAAGGAGGAAATGTCGCCAACGCTTGAGGGCGTGGACGAAGGCAAGAAGCTCCTTCTTCCGTGCGTCGTCGATCGAATGCACGGGAGGTACTTTCTTGCTAAAGTACTCGACCGGGTGCCAGTCCGTGCCATCGTGCTGCTCAAGGACAACCCCAATGCCATAGCCCGACGCATCGGTAGTGACGCGCGTAGCTAGAAGCGGGTCGTAAATATGTAACACCTCGGCGGACAAGAGTGCCGCTTTGAGTGTCTGAAAAGAATGGCGCGCGTCGTCGTCGAAGTCAAAAGGCCGCTCCTCGCTTTGTAACTTGCTTAGGTTGGCCGCGATCTTCGAGTAACCCTTGATGAAGCGCTGATAATAACCGGCCAAGCCGAGGAAGGATCGGACGTCCGTCACATTCTTCGGCTCAGGCCACTCCTGGATGGCTTGAATCTTGTCCGCCAACGGACGAATGCCTTCCGGAGAGACAAAATGACCCAAGTATTCAAGCTCTTGCCGGACAAACTCGCATTTGTCGCGGTTAGCTTTGTACCGGGCTGACCGAAGAGTCTCTAGAACACGGCGAAGGTGCTCGAGATGCTCCTCTAGAGTTCGGCTACAGACGAGGATGTCGTCTAAGTAGACCAAAACGAAGCGGTCCAACATAGCGCGAAACTCGGTGGTCATGGTCGCCTGAAAGGTGGCCGGGGCATTGGTGAGGCCAAAAGGCATAACTACCCACTCAAAATGCCCATAGCGCGTCTTAAACGCGGTTTTGTACCGATCTTGCGGGCGGATGGAAATCTGATGGTAGCCCGACTTGAGGTCCAACTTCGAAAAGTACTTTGCGCCGCTCAACCGCTCAAGCAAATCGTCAATGCGAGGTAGAGGCCCCGCGTTCTTGATGGTTTGCGCGTTGAGGCGTCGGTAGTCAATATAAAGTCGAAGGTCCTTGTTCTTCTTCCGAACGAAGAGAACGGGCGCACCGTAAGGTGAGCTGCTAGGGCGGATCCAACCCTTGTCGAGTAGATCGTCGAATTGCGCACGGAGAACCGTGAGCTCCTCCTCGGACATGCGATAAATGCATCCTTTCGGTGGCACGGCGCCGGCCTCAAGTATGATCTCGTGAGAGATTGGCCGGTCCGGCACTATACCGGAGGGTGTCTCAAAAACATCCGAGAACTTGTCTAACAACCGGGTCACACGGGGGTCAGAAGACACTTCTGTGGACGATGAATCGGTCGTCGGGACGGTTCGAAGCAAAGCGATGCCAATCTCTTCGACATGCTCGGAACGGCATGTGTCTCAAAAAGATTTGGCACTCACGACTTGGCACCTTATGGAAGAGCGAGGAGGAGGAATAGTACACGGGACCTCGGCGCCAGTTGCATCACGAATCGTGAGCGTGCGTCGATGGAAATTGACCGTGTAATCCGCGCTAGAAAGCCAAGGCATCCCCAAAATGACATCGAAGTCGGTGTCCAACACGTCGAAAGTGACGGGTTCACATGCGTGCGGTGCAAAGTACACCGGGACAGCCGAGATGTAACGGTCTAAAAGCTGTTTCGTCTTACCGTCGGCAAGAGCGACCGTCGTCGGATGTGACTTCCTCCGTACTTGTGCGCCAAGGCCAGCCCGAGTCATGAAGGACTGGCTGATGAAGTTGCGAGTTGCGCCGCAATCTAGCAAAGCGTTGCAGCCCCTTTGCCCAATCTGAATGCGAACGTAGAGCAACGGTGCGTTGTTTTCTTCGTACCATTGCGAGACAAACTCGTGGGCCACCTTGGCAACGTAGCCAAGCATGTCCCCCACCGCGACTTCGTCTACCGT